CAATCATGGGGTAATTCTCATTCCTGGGCTACCATATGCTCTCAAAGGAAACATACCCAATCTGGCTAATTTAAATGTAAAAAAACAGAAAATCCAGCCTTATATTTCACCCTGTAACTTTCAAAAACACTATAAAATCTGTACATGGGGGTACTGTTATACTTGGGAGACTTCGCTGAACACAAATATTAGTGTTTCAAAACAGAAAAACGTATCACAACAATATCGTCAGTCAAAGTGCCGTTTGTGTGTGAAAAAAGGAAACAACTGCACTTTCACTGACGATATCATCGTTGTGATGTGTTTTACTGTTTTTAAACACTAATATTTGTGTCCAGTGAAGTCTCCCGAGTAAAGCAGTAACCCACATGTACAGGTTTTATGGTGTCCTGGAAAGTTACAGGGTTAAATATAGGGCTCGCGAACCAAATTCTCTGGACTTTCTGCCTGGGTTGTCAAGCAGATCCCTCAAATTCTAATTAAGAAAATGACTTAATTATGTAATAATATTATATAAATATAGTTGTAGAATTTAAAATTATATATTATATATATATATTATATATATATATATATACACACATATGGTACCTGGTACGTCCGAGGTCGGGAAGGGGTTAAAGCTACCACTCACTATACGCACACCAAATCTTTTTGTTCTCTTTACGCCTTTTCTCCTCCAGCCAGGGCAGGTGCAAGGATTTTTGGCTATACAGGCAAAGATGCATTTTGCCGCCCCCCCACTTAAAAAAAAAAAGAAAATGCGTCTTCACCTGTGTGTCTTGAAACCCCCTTTTTGATTTTCTTATCCTCTTTAGTGTATTTTATCCCCTCTTTACTATGTTTTACACCCTCTTGTTTGTCTCTTACAACCCCCCTTGTGCATCTCTTTCTTTCCCAAGCCCCTGTGGGTGTCTTCCCCCAGCCCCTTTCTGTGGCTCTCTATCCTCAGTGCATTTTGTGTTTTTGTCCATGCGATATAGACGCCGATATTTAGCAAAACACAACTGTACAGCCACTCAGTCAGAGATATGCAGGCACACAATCAAACAAATACAGGCACACGGCCATACAATCTACACAAACAGGTACAATGTCATACAAACACAGACACATTCACACACTGTCATACAGACACAGGCATACAAAGACATACATACACAGGCTTGTAGTCATACAGATACAGGCATACAGAGCAGGGGCGGAGAAAGGGACATGAGCTGAGTAGGGGGACAAGGGCTGGGGAAGGGGACAGGGGCTGAGGAAGGGGGACAGTGGCTGGATGCAGGGAGACAGGTTAGTTAAAAAAATCAGAGTCCCCAGCCAGAGGCAGGGGATTTGTATTTTTGCGCCCCTCCCTGCTCTGGCGCCCTAAGGTGGCTTTCTGAGCCGCCCTATGGATGCGCCGGCCGTGCCTTCATGTTCCTTGTTTTGTAAACGATATGTAAAACCATAGCTATGTAAGAGGTAGCAATAATGTAGTAGTGACATCATCCTCTCTCTTCCAATTGTAAATCAGCACAAACTATAGATAAAAGAGACTGCATTCTAAAGATCTCTTCTTTGCTGTGCCATCAGATGAGTTCTCTCTTTACTGTATTTTTTTAATGTTTCCTAGCAGGTGTATACTGCTGTTTCCATTAATTAGCAAAATCCCTGCATGGTGTTTAATTGTCCCCATTTCATTATTGTTGTGATTTTTTTTACACATAATTCCTTCATGCTATGGTTTGATCCTTCATTGATGATTTTACATTGTGATCTTAATTTACTCATAGCTAAATATGGTCATGTATTTTTTTTTCTGGTTTTCAGAAGTATTACTCCCATACTTTGAACATTTACTAGTACATTTTGCCCCTTTCTTACCCTTTTTTAGTCTATGTATCAGAAATATCCCTGCTTATGGTCCACACGTTGGACAGTTTACCTACTTTTTCTTTGTGTATTTTGCAGTGCTTAATTTGATTTCAGTGGTTCTTACATGTGTGGTGGCTATCTTGGAGGCCTGAGCACAACCACAATATTCTACTTGTGGTGGCCATCTTTGTTATGGCATTTTAAAGGAATGGAGGCGCTCCAGAAAAACAAAGCCTTAGGTAAATCAAAACATTCATTGCCTAAAGCTTCCAGAAATCTATGATTTTTCTCACAAGGGATGGAGAGTAAAGGAAGAGAAACACACAATACTTGCCTTGTGTTCTTAATATAACCATGACATTCTGTCATAGATTAGTAAAATCCTGTAATTAATTTGCAAAAGTAATTTGTGCCTGCATGAGTTGTAGACTGCTTTTTTTCTTGAAATATTCAATAGTAACCTTGGTAGGGGTCAGCAGAGATCTTCTGCTGTACCCTACAGCCCATAGATCTTGGCCTTGAGACTCTTCAATAGTCAAGACTCACCCACTGCTGATGAAGAAACATTTAATGAGGCTTGCCCACTGCTACTCTGGTGAAGCAATATGCAGAGGCCATAAAACAAACTTATTGCTTGGTCAACGATGGATATTCTCCCAGACCTTACCACATGAGCTGGTGGAGAATCCAGTCACATTAATGACCAAAGAATATCTGGGACTATTACAGGAGCTTCAGTTCCATCGGCCCCTATGTTAATCATGCCATGTTTGTAACACTTACATTAACTCTGTAAATTGTACTTAAATTAAGCAGCATCCTGTACTAGACTGTGCCCAGTTTTGTGTCATTTTTCTTTTCAAAATGCTTGCTGGCATTAAGCCTGATATTTCTCAAACAGATTTCAAGAGGTTGTCTGAGAAAAAAGTTTGGCTTTGGTCCCTATCCCTCAGCCTGTCACTAGTAACGGATAATAAACAAACCACAGGAAGGGAAGAACGGTCACCTACAAATATTCATAGACCTCTTGCAGAGACCAAAACGCCTTTTAATAGTCAAGGAAATGTATCTAGTAAAATTATCAAGGGCAACATTTGAGTTGGAAAAAGTAATCATAGGCATTTAGAGATAATATAAGGAAAAGACGGGACTTTTAGTTAATGATAGCAGGATGGCCTCGGTGCAAAGAAAGTCTTGGATGAAAAAAAAACTCTACAAGACAGCTGCTAATGTGGATGTAGAAGATTTTTGAGCCCTAGGACAACATTCCACAGGTGCCGGTGACTCACTTTGAATTACAGGCTACGAGCCAGTGTTTTTTCCAGCAACAGGTTACACACATTTAATTCTGTCACACTCGGCTTTAAAGACACATTTTAGATAAAACATCATGCCCTTATACGACCCTACAGCAATTTCAGACAGTACCTCAGCCATACTCTAAAGTATCTGCATGCATGCAAAGTCTTAAAGCGGAACAGTCACGTGTTTTATTTTTGTACAACCTTGTAGCTAACAAAAAGCTGCCTATGGGTTGTGTTTAAAAAAAAAAATGTTTTAATCTTTTTATTTTTATTTTACAATTAACATTGTATGCCTGACAAACGCATACCTTGCAGATTATTCTAAGCCCCAAAGTGCCCCTTTGCGGTTTAGATTAATCTGCAATGTAATTCCTGAGCATTCAACCACTTGTATGACATGTCTTTCTAGATTCCCAAGCACACAAGAATGAGTTTGGAGCATCATGGGAGATTATTATTCTGTGATATAGCACCAGCCAATTCCGATAGGAGATAACTACTTTGGATACAGATGCTGTGGAGGTAACCTTTTTTTCCTAGTTATTTTAACTGCACCTTTTATAAGTCAATGGTTGGCAGCTTTTGGCCTGTATGCCTTATAAGGCCTGTCCCTAAATTCATGGGCATTCATACCCAAGCAGGGCCAGCCGGGGCCTAAATTGGTTCAGGAGGCCCTCTTAAGGCACCCCAGGAGATTGAAAAAAAAAAACTTGAACATATATATATTTACATTTTAAAAATATGTGTATTATTAATGTTTCAAAGGGCATCAATCATCAGTAATCACAGAACCGAGTTCGGATGCGGAAGCACCCTGGCTGCCACCCTCTAGTGACCCTTCAATGAAAACACTGCCATATCTCCCTTTTAATACTTTGCATTCATGGAATATTAACGCCATATGGACAGCTTTATTGTATTTTGGTTTTAGCTGAAATATTCTATCTTCCTTTGTTTTATTTTTTTTATCCGCTGAGTGGATCTGTCTCACACCTGTCAGCTGTTAAATCCACATGCATGCCTGACACTTAAATTCAGGATTTAGAGTCAATGATTTCTACAATGAACATTTTCTCTCGTCTCTTATTATCTTGACAAAATGCTCCTCTTGCGTTCAACTCTCCTTAATGTTTCATTCCTGCATACCTATATTGTTAGCTTTCTAACTTGCTAAACCAATAAAAGAATTTTGAAGAAAGAAAACAATTCGAAATCATAATAATATATATTCTCTCACCTGCACAGTCCACTCTAAAGAGATTCAAGGAGGCCGTGACTGAGAATTCATCCACAGACTTTATTCCTCGCAGGACAAATTTTATTAGTGATGCTTGAACACTTTCAGGCAAAAAGGAGAGAAGATAGAGAGGCATGTAGACAATATAGCGCAAGTTGCACAACAGAGGGGTCATGATTTTGCCCTGCGGTGATTGAGCCATCCTCTCGATTGTGGGAAATAGCAATATTGATTGCAGAATCTGCATGGCCATAGGATGAAAAAAAACAAACACAAATTTTTAGCAACTTGTTTGTACAGAAACAAATACACGTTTCCTTTTAACAACAATATATTTCAACCACAACCAAAACACACTATAGTGTCAACATTTGCCTATCTTGCTCTAAAAATTCTTAGCGTCCATCAATTATATGACTGACAGTTGCCGGAACTGAATCCCAAAAGTAGTGATAGTCTTGACATTTGCCGCTGGGCCATATATCATATCATCCAGGAACGTACCAATACACAGTTCCAGAGTGAGCAATCTGTTATGTCTTTTTCCTAAAAAGTACATACATGTAAATATCTAAAGCAGGCTTCCCCAAACTACAGCCCTCCAGATGTTGCTGAACTACAACTCTCATGATTCTCAGCCTATTTTCTTCATAGAATCATGGGAGTTGTAGTTCAGCAACATCTGGAGGGCCGGAGTTTGGGGAAGCCTGATCTAAGGTGTTAAGTATGGCTTTCGAGTGCTTTAGATTTAAATTATCATATAAATCCAGCACTATTCACATTGGTTTAGTATTGCATTTGATCATTCTATTGCATTGCTTGTGTTTCAACATGAGAAATCTTGTTTCTTTTTTTAAATAGTATAAATATTGGAAGATATAAAAGTGTTGGGAAAATTAATCAAAGAAAAAGTTAAATGTATGCAGTAATATCCAGTCATAAAATGGCAAACAAACAATGTACCACTAGAGGGCGGAATACAAATGTAATTGTCAGCATATCTTAAACAAGTGCTATTCACCAACACCTGGGTTAAATATGGAACAAGAGGATATATTAAGATGTATGTAAGCTTTAATCATATAAAGAATGAAACCAAATTAAAACTCAAATAGTTTATGCTTGATTAATATTAAGCATTTGTCAGGAGAATCTGTTTAATCTTAGTCAATCCATTCGATTTACTATATAATCAATATTTTGCTTATACTTATCACAACAGACTTCTGCAACATCTTTGCAGCGCATGTTTTTAATATGAATAAATTGTTGTGCTAGACAGTAATAAACAACAACTTGTGTAAAAAACTGGCAAGCTGGGATTCATAGGGGAGTCACTGCAAGCCAAACAGGGTCCGGGATTTGAAGTTTCAGCCTTGTCTGTAAAAGTCTTTGTGTTACTACTAAAACCAAGCTAAATTGTTTAATCTGGCCTTGTCGAAAGCATGCATAGCAGGCCTTCAAGATATAGTACAAACTCACTCCATAAGTCTTAATTAATACCTGACTGAGTGATACCATACCAAAATCTAGTGATCTAGAGATTTGTGTATCTACCTATTACAAAGTGATTTATCAAACACATGCAGCACTTAAGAAAAAATAATGTCTCCAATCAAATACTCATCAAATCGAAATTAATACAAATCTCTCTCTCTCTCTCTCTCTCTCTCTCTCTCTCTCTATATATATATATATATATAAATCATTGAAGTTTGCACTGTGTGAAACAGAAAGACAAAGAGAAAAATGAGCATTTATAGTCTAAAATGTAACATAAAAATGATTCCAACTTATGTTCCTTAGAAACACCATGGTCAAGCTCTATAGTCTGCAAGCATGACTGCACCATTGGACTAGGCTGTGGACCGCATTACCGATAGTTGTGATCCAGGTTACCTGTAGTTTCACCAGGTATTTAAATAATATTTAATAAAATATAGCACTGGTAAATACATAAAATAATATAAAGCCAAGACATATGTGCCAAATTACATAGTGGTAAGCAATATATTTAACAGCTAAATGACATTTTCCACTATATATTTAGCTTTTTATGAAAGGCTCTTTGATGATCAAGTTAAATCTCCCTGTTGATAGCATTAAGAGTAATTACATTGTAATTACGTTTGCTGGATGTCTGACTGTGTCGCAGTGTATCCCAGAGTGTTTAAGGTATCTCACAATAAAAAAAACAAAATTATTTAGCAGATCAGGCAATCTTGAAATACATAGAAACATAGAATGTGACAGCATATAAGATAAGAACCATTCGGCCCATCCAGTCTGCCCAATTTTCTTAATACTCTCATTAGTCCCTGGCCTTATCTTATAGTTAGGATAGCCTTATGCCTATCCCACGCATGCTTAAACTTCCTCACTGTGTTAACCTCTACCACTTCAGCTGGAAGGCTATTCCATGCATCCACTACCCTCTCAGTAAAGTAATACTTCCTGATATTATTTTTAAACCTTTGCCCCTCTAATTTAAGACTACGTTCTCTTGTTGTGGCAGTTTTTCTTCTTTAAAATATAGTCTGCTCCTTTACTGTGTTGATTCCCTTTATGTATTTAAATGTTTCTATCATATCCCCCCTGTCTCGTCTTTCCTCCAAGCTATACATGTTAAGATCATTTAACCTTTCCTTGTAAGTTTTATCCTGCAATCCATGAACTTGTTTAGTAGCCCTTATCTGAGCTCTCTCTAAGGTATCAATATCCTTCTGAAGATACGGTCTCCAGTACTGCTTACAATACTCCAAGTGAGGTCTCATCAGTGTATACAACCAAGCATTCTACCCCATGATATTCACTCTCCCTCCATGACATTGTCTTCCTACCTTGTAAAAGTATCAAGAGCACTCTGGTCCGGTGACCAGTGCTGTATTTAGCCCAAGGCAAACAAGGCATTTGTCTTGGGCGGCATAAACCAGGGTGTGGCAAAAAAAAGCCGCCCCCAAACACCCACTTGGGCTTCCCCGGTGTTCCCCCTGCTGGTCACCTTATGGACCCTCAGGCATGCGGCTGTATTGGCATCAGAGGCGGTGAGGGAGCTCTGATCTCCCAGTTTTACTCCCTTGGGCGCCGTTTGCTGATGCTGCGGGAGCCAGAATATGACGTCTTTTCCGGCTCCAGGCATCAGTAGACGGCCTGTGAGGTGCGAGGGAGTAGAACACAGCTTCCTCACGTCCTCTGATGCCAATACAGCCGCATGCCTCACAGCAGCCCCTCTGGACCCCGAACGACAGACCCACGCCAGCTCTCCAGGTAGGGAGGCTGGTGGAATATTTTTAATCTTAATAATATTAATAATTAGTAAATGTATGTGTGTGACTGTGAGTGTGTGTGACTGTGAGAGTGTGTGTGTATGAGTGTCTGTGAGTGTGAGTGTATGTGTGTGCATGTTAGTGTGAGTGTCTGTCAAACCAGTGAGAGTCTGTTTGTCATTGACTCTGTGTGAGTGTCAATGAGTGTCTGTCAGTGTTTGTGTGGCTGTCCATGAATAAGTGTGTGTCAGATCAGTGAGTCTGTGTCTGTCAGTTACATCTGTGTGTTTGTTATTGAGTGTGTGTCACTGTCAATGCATATCTGCCAGTGTGTGTCTGTTGGGGAATTCCTGTGTGTCACATCAGTGAGTCTGTGCCTGTCAGTGACATCTGTCTGTTTGTCATTGAGTGTATGTGTGACTGTCAGTGTGTTTGTGTGTGTCTGTGTTTAAATGGACACTATAGGCACCCAGATCACTTCAGTTCATTGAAGTGGTGTGGATGCAGTGTCCCACTCCCCTTAACCTTGCAAGTCTATTCATTGCAGTTTCTCAGGGTGGTTAGATGACCAAAAGTCGCCTAACTGATGCAGGACATCCAGTGTCTGCTAAATCCCCAAAATTCTCCTGGCATTATAGTATCCCTTTAAATGGAGTAGGAAAAGGTGAAGTCTAAAGAGGAAGGTGTAGATTCTTTATCAGGAAGAGGTGCGACCTTGACTGGTAGGGGTGGGGCAAATTTAAATTAGCTGGGTTTAGTCTGCCTAGGGCAGCACAAAACCAAAATACACCACTGCTGGTTACCCTGGTTACCCTGGTAATGGGACAAACCAGTTAGCATCAGTTTGTCCCTTTATCTTGGTCCCTACCAGACTCCAAAAATCCCTGGTGAGCTGGTGACACGATTCCATCTTGTGCAGGGTTGTAGAGCCCAGAAGCCGCGGCTGTCGCCATTGCATGAATGGATGACACTGGATAGCCCAGAACTCTAGTAGCTGATTAAACTAAAGTATTCAGTAAGCCTTTAAGCAAAAGATATCTGGCAGTGTTAGTAAATCATGCAGCACATATATAATGGTGCAAGGAAATTAAAGGACAACTATAGTGCCCCCACCCTCAGGGCTCTAGGGGGTGGAAGGGGTTAAATTTACCTCTTTCTCCAGCGCCCCGGGGGGGGGAGGGAACTCTTCTCCTCCTCTGCTCCTCGATATCGCCGTCATCGGCTGAATGCGCGAGCATTCAGCCAGTCCATAGGAAAGCATTCTCAATGCTTTCCTATGGACGCTGGCGTCTTCTCACTGTGAAAATCACAGTGAGAAGTGCGGAAGCGCCTCTAGCAGCTGTCAATGAGACAGCCACTAGAGGCTGGATTAACCCTGTTATAAACATAGCAGTTTCTCTGAAACTGCTATGTTTATAGAAGCAAGGGTTAATCCTAGATGGATCAGGCACCCAGACCACTCCATTAAGCTGAAGTGGTCTGGGTGCCTATAGTGGTCCTTTAAGGAATGGTTTCCTGGTAGTGTAAGGACCACAAGTAATGGATACTTGCAGATGACAGTTCTATTTAACCCCCCAATAGTGTGATGCTATAAAATGAGATGATGGGTGACTTATGTATTTATTTAATTAGTTAATTAACACCTGCAGACACTTGTACATCAAGAGCTGGTGTAATAAGTAGAAATCTAGAACTGTAGACTGATGATCTTCAAAAATCAGCTCCCATTTTCTTTCTGGTCCAGTTTTGACAAGAGACCTGAAAGCACCTCAAACACTTTTTTTCTAGCGATTATCAGAATGAAACATCTGCAAATCGACTTAAATAATAAGTACCGAAAAGAGGCAAACTTTCTTATAAATCAGGAAAAATAGAAATGGCTTTTAGCAGTAATGCAGGATTAAGAAAATCCCATCATTTTAAAACGACATCCAACCGGATTCTTATCTCAACTTGGTGGAGTTAAATTTAAAGGACTGACCCATTACAATGATCCAGGAATATAGAGACAGCGGCATTGCTACCAAAAAAATAAAAACCCCTGTCTTGATTTATGCTGTACTCAAAGGTCCTGAAACAATTAAAGCCTAACATGATTTAACCTGAAAAAAAAAAAAAAAAGACAAAATCGTGAAACAGACTCCTTAAAAATTTAGTAAAACCTAATGCTGTCTATCTGTCAAACATAGCACATCCGCTAATACATTTAAGAACATTTCTTACATTAGTTTACTTTCTCTAAATCGGCTGAGTGGAGGGAGAAGATATCATTTGTTAGGTGAAACTTGGAACATTTTTCAAATATAGCATAATGATGCACTTAATAATGATCTAATGTCCAAATTTTTCAGTGTGTCATATTAATCCATTTTTTTTTTCTCGTCGGCATGAAATAACCTGCAGGCAAAATCACCAGGGTCAA